TATTCGGTAGTATAGATAGTATAGAATCTATATAGAATAGGGAGAAGTATGCATACATAGAGGAATAAACATAAACATAAATGCCGAGGATCTTCAGAAAGGATCGGCAGGCGAGGCTGCAATTCAATACGAGCTTTCGAACGGATAAACTCTTTTGAATATACAATTTTATAATAATTCCGCAACTCTTCTGAATATACAATTTTATAATTATTCTTTATATTGCTGTACAACTTTTTTCGCCATTCTATTAAACTGTAATCGTTAGAATCAGACGACGAAATGTCAGGATTTCTCGAATTTTTAACATTAATGTATTAGTCTATACATTAGTAATATTATATGCAGAATTTAATTGTTTGATTCTCTACATTTCAAAAACTAGTCGAAGCTAGTTTTGAAAAATTTTATATTTCAAGTCCTGGCCGCTTTTCTATAATCCTTTTTAATATTCGTCTCCAGGACGGAATTACAGTCCAATTAGTTAAATCTCAGTACAAAATAAGGATATTATTCCAATTGATCCGATCCCCTTCTCTGAGATGTTTGCCGAATTCGAGGATTTAACTGTTCGGAAGATAATTTTACGATATTTAACGTATAAACGACAACGAAATACAGAAAGTAGTATAAAAGTTAGACAAGAATTACATGGTGACAGTATTCTCGGCCGACTGCTATTGTCCGAAGATGAATGTATACGTATATATCGATATGTTTGCGCTTATTGAGAGTTTTGCATTTGTATGTGCTTTTGTTTATTCTAGACGTTCGAATTAGGCCTGGCATAAGGACGAGGGATCTGAGGCGGCGGTGCTTTGGAAGAACAAAAACGCAAAGAAATCTTTTGTTTCATAAAAAGAAGGATAAGAGAACATTATATTTCCATTCTATCAAAAGATTCACTATTGCGATGATTTGTCGTAAATCGATTGTCTGTATCAGGTCTAACGTTAGCTGCTAATTGCTTGTTCTTATTTCGTAAAATTGTAGAATCTACTTTCCAAATAGAGAGTTCTCGAAGTCAAGATTTTATATCTTTTGATCGGTGACCATTTAAAACTAAATAAATATACGGTAATCAATCACCAGTTGTCAGCCAAAATAATTTTAGGAAGTAATATAGTTAGTTAAAAATTATTTTTAAAAATAATGAAGTATAAATAATTATGTACATGAAATGTATATTAATATTAAAACACGGATAGAGATCTTTGTGATATATACATAGATGCATAATATAAAACGGAATGGTTTTAGATACTGATTTCTTGTATCGGAAGATACACAATTGACAACACTGTAATGGATATTATTTTCTTGAACTAAGTTATATCATTTTGTTTGATCATTTGATTTTTAGTTCTCTAATTTATTGTTGTTTACGCGTAGAAAACGCTAAAAAACCAGTTTTTCTTGATCGGTATTTCAAATCCTGAGACACGAAACTCCATTTGATGTCTAGTCTATGCTAGTTAGTGCTCGAAGATCATTTTATTGAAAATCGTCTTATCTTATGTTAGGATAAGGGCGCTTTACCATATGACCATATTCCACGAAATCAACTTATTCATTTCATTTTATATAAAATATACATATATATTCAAGAATTGTACATTCTAGCTTTCCGTGGTATATGTGAAACAGAAAGCTGGATCACGTTTCTCGCAAATTGTGTCTCATATATATCGAATCACCCAACTAATAAAATAAAACATCCCCGCCAGCATGAAAAAGTAGTAATATTTTTAACGTGACCTCGTAATAATATTGTTCACTAATGAGATTTCACGAGAAGAAAAATCAGTTCTTTATTCACTAAAGCGACGAGTCTTTATAATTTTAAGTTGAAATTTCACCAGCCAGACAGACGGTCTCCCACATCGAATTCTCTTCACATTCCCCAATCATTATCTATTTTTCATCCGGATGTTGTAAATCGCCCATTGCCGCTACTAATATTGCGGAAATTTCAGTATAGGCCTTGCTATATTAATGGAGTTTGGAACATTGTCCCGAATTCAATTCAGCTGCTTTTAAATATCTATAAACAGTCAAATGAGTTGGTAGAATCGAGCATCAATCCTACTGTACTGTTTCTCCTTTCTTCGTTATCAGTAAAAAAAATATGGGTCGTAAACATAAGTTCGGTTTAGATAAATAAATTTCTGTAAAGTTGGTTTATCAAATTTCTTAACAATTCCGTTCGTAACAAACACTAGTTTTGGATTTGTTTTGCCATTTGTGAGGATATCGACGAGTATCATGCAAATGTACGTCTGCTTTGTACGAATGCCGGCCGAATTTGTTTAACTTAATTAAAATTCGGAAAAAATGTTCAGTCAATTGAAAGTTACATGCGTTTCTGTCAGCTCTTGTATAATGGCTAGGCTTTCAGGGAAATTAAGTGAAACCGGATACGCAGACAAGCAGGAGAGATTAAGAGAAAAGGAGAAAAAGGAGAAAAACAAGAGAAAGTGTTCTATAAACGAGTAAGTGTCGCTTGAATAAGAAGCCCTCCATTGACGATGGAAAAACAAACGTTGCCAGTACATACCAGGAATCGAGGAAACGGATATAGATACTGTTTCAAGGTGACCATGAGG